CCGTTAAGCTTTGTGATGTTGTTTTGAGATACTCCTCCTGAATATGTACGGTCTGTTGCACATAATTCTCCCTCTAGAGAACCGAGACTAATCCCTCCAAGGTATCTGTCCCGATGAAGCAACTTCTCTCTTCGCATCTTTCCCTCTGGAAGTTTCAGAGACCACCATCCTCTTAGACTACTCTATCTTGCTGAACAAACTGTGCATTGTTCTGCCCCCGCAAACGCACTTGTTAGATTGTGACTCCACATCAATACAACCCCTACTGCACCCCAAGGCCTAGCAACATATTGAACTCGTTGCACACTTCAACCTTATACGGATGTATCATTCTCATGCCGATGAGAAAGTTTCAATGCTCCATGGTGCCGAGTTTCGATCGCCTTAGGATGACCACGAACATTCCATCGTCCGCATACAAGCCCTTAGTACCGAATTCTTCGAGTTAACAATTCCCCTCACCTTTGTGAACCTTTCACAACTCTTTCGGTTGCTGAATAACTCATTACATCTTGCATTGTCTCATCCTTAACCAAGCGTCTCGCTTGCCTTGAACACTATTATGGTTACCAATATCGAGCCGTAGCTCGAACTCAGCCATTCCAACCTTTGTGCATTACACATTCTTCCCAGCTTACTTGTCTTCGTGATGCCTCTTGAGCAAAGGATTAGCTATTTCTCTAAATGTCAATCTCAGATATTCGTTTTTCTGAGCGATTCTTTTTTCCTATATCTCCATGTTAGTTTCCCCCAAACAATCTTGCTTGCTGGCTACTCTCAACGTAACCCCGCTAGGTTCCCCACGTTTGTTTGCCAAGTGTTTTTATAAGTGATTTTCCCGCTTTGAGACCATATGTCACGTACTTAGTTGGTTTTACCAAAATCGTGCAACTCTCTTACGCATCCATCCGAAAAGGTCTACTTATAACCTCCTATGGTCCTTATAACCTACAAAAAAGAAAATGTGTTAGAAAAAATATCACAATCGGGATCCAAATGACTTTATAGCCAATGCAAATTACAGACAGACTTAAAAACTTTGAATGATCGCACAACAAAAGTGTCCAAAATGGTCTACTACAAACGGAATTCCTCAAAAGTGCCAACAGGACACAATCTTTATTTGCAAGCCTAAGATAGCCGTCAAAACCAAAGAAAATGAGACTACTAAACCTATTGTCAACACTTTACATGCTATCCAAAGCATGAACAAAACCAAAATGCACAGACATATATGAGCATTACATCAAAACCTCGTTTATAGTTTTGTCCATGACAATTCGGAATCAATTTGCACATAATCCAAAAGTTCATAAGATCCAAAATCATCTCGGTTGAATTGCTGAGCAGAATTTCTAAAACCTGCAATTCACATACAAACCAACAATAGTGTGCCAAACAAAATCAGAAAATGATTCAAGCAAACATTTAGTAAGACAAAAACAATGCCAATCTAGCATGTCACATGAGAAGAATCTCACACCTCAATAGAATTTTAGAGAAGCCATTTGCATTCTATTTCCAAAATCTCAAACTAGGGGAATAATCTACCTTCATCAATCAGAGATTTCAAACAGGCCAGGGGCTTACTGCTTTGCAAAAAAGAACAGACTTTTCCATGAACCTTAATGAGTAAAACTGGAAGACATTTTGTGTTGGCCACTGCATAGACCTTCCAATTACAACATTACTACCATATGACACCAAGGAATAATTCTTTCACTGGACTGCACCTCAGTAGCCAAGGCTGGTGGTTGATGTAAGACAGCTCGTTGTCAAGGAAAAAGGTGCCGAATCACTGCTCATCTCCTGTTGAGAAATTCACACGTGAGTTAGACCATCAGCTAAGCCCTTCTCATCCTCCTCTGATACCAAATAAAAGGCTCATTTCCCTTCACACTCACCTGCTCTCAAAATATCAAGAAGCTCAGGAACCTTTTCTTTGTAGGGTAGAACAATCTTCTCCATGAATTTTGTATTTGATAATGTCACATAGGACAAAAACTTGCCTCGTCGAGTCCACAAGCCTTTCGTATTCAACATCTCCAAAACACGAAACCGAGGAATTACCGTCTTCTGCATACTCAATAGCAAGAGATTTGGATGGGAGGCGATGAAGGAAGGGGTGTACCCGACTACATTGATAAAAAATTCCACTTTTCTGCGCAACATATCGAGGGAGATGCATAAGAAGGTGGGATTTTTCATGACTGCAGAAGAAAACTCCGACTCCGACCACCCGAAGCTCCTCATGAGCTCGCCCTTGGACTCGAACTTTTCTTTGCTTACGTTGTGGAAAACATGAAGGGTCCACATGAACATCCGAGATTGCCGTGGTATCCCCAGCTCATCGGCTCTCACCACCAAAGCTCGGAGAGACTCTGGTTTCTGCGAGAATAAATGTGGGCGACTTCTCAAGACGACAGAGACCCTTTCTTCAGGAATGCCGCACTCATCCCTCAAGAACTTTAGGTTAGGATGCAATGTCTTCTCAACGCTGGAGTGGAAAAACCGTGTTGTCTTCTTGAGATGCTTGAGAACGAGCTCTCTCGATCCCAAGAGACTTTCCCACATCTCCAATTTGGGGACCAAGGAACGGTGAACGTCGAGGCGCAGAATAACATCGTTCTTCAGGATGGCATCGACGATATCCGACTCCGATAGGCCCAAATCACGTAAGAACTGAAACTTCGGGCTGAAGTTCTTCTCCACGTTGCAGCATAAGTATCTGGGATCCGCAGATATCACCTTCCTGATACCGGCGCCGTCGAAGCCCTGAGATCTCATGAAGTTAAGGACGGCGTCGGGATTCTCGGTGGATCGGAGGCGCGCAAGGGGTTTAGAGAACTTGGCTGCCTCGGAGGGGGAGAACCCACAGGAGTTTACGAGGTATTCCACCATGAAGTGGGGATCTGGAGACATGGTGCCGCCTACGGTGACGGCGGCAGCGTCGACAGAGGAAGAGAAGAAGAGGCGATCTCGAAGGTGGCAGGTTTCGAACAAGGGCAGGAGGCGATTGCGGCGTAGTACGGAGCGGAGCGTCGGAGCCGCCATTGTGGGAGAACAAAGAGATTTGAGAGGGGTACCCTAATTCCTACATATAGTGTGTATAAGCTTCGCTATGCACAAGAAATACAAAACTGCAGGAATAATTTATTTATATCATAAATATGGATAAAATGGTCGACAAAATATTTATATAATTTTATCTCTCCATAAGAAAACACTCTTTTCATGAGAAAAGTGATTTGATCATCGGACGAATTCTTTTTTTTTAATAAACATTGAAATTTTCTTATGAAATTGCCTAAATTTAAAAAAAATTAAAATATTTTTTTAATATTCATTTAACTTCTATCGATCATCGTTTCTTACTGTACTTTTACATAATTTTCATCATATTTTTATCTCATCAATTATACCTCATTATCTTCTCATCGTCCGCTTGATAATTCAAACATTAGTTACCTTGCCCATCGACTATTGTCGATGATCCTCATGCAAAAAGAGGAGAGATTGTCCACTGATCGATGCAGAGATGTTGATCATGAATTAAATAATATTTTAATTAAATTTGACTGTTTATTAATTAATTATATATATATTATTCTTTTACATGTATAGAGTTAAATAGTTAACCACAATCATCATTGATGACAAAAAAATATGTTTGCATAAAGATGAGGACTTCACACAAAATAAATTCCATATCTATGAGGAGGACTCTTGATCTGTTTCTTTCATCCAATCTTCTCACACTTATGATTAGACTACCATGAAATATCCACCAACAAAATTAACATTTGCCTCATCCACTTTATCTTAATATAGATATTATCATTGTGTTTAGCTCCCACCTGCACCATGGCACAAAAGGCATTGCACTTACAACAAACCTTTTGTTATGTCAAATGAGACCCAAAGTATTTAAGTACATTTATGGAACATCTTAGCATCCATCCACAGTAAGCCATTAAGAACCAATGTTGCCTTCATCATACTGTGTATCTTTCAATTGTAAATCCCACAGGTACTACATTTAGCTCAAGGCAAACATGCTTGGAAGAACATAGGCTAAGAACTCCACTCTAAACAACAGTGGAGAAAGTAACAGGCAATATAAAAAATCAAATTAAATAATTGGCCAAATTCTCATCGTTTTACATCATCATCAATAGAACGTTATTTTAGTGTTCTCAGTACCTGCAGGATTCTTTCTAGAAAAGGAGTGAAATGATTCATCAGAACATAAGGTTGGATTCACCACCAGAGACTTGAAAAATGCTTATGATCATTGCAAAGATGTGAGACAATATTAAAATGTACAAGTTTACCTTCCATTGCATAATATTGCTACACATAACAGTAACACCTCAAAAACTACCAATCAAAGGCAGAGAAACAATTAGCTTTTGATTAAAAATATCACAGGGAACAATCATGATTTAGTGAAAGGTAATTAGCAAATCAAAATTCAAGCCGAGAATGCTATTGCAATGTCCTTCTTACTTAAAGCTAATAACAATCAATAGTTAAACGATTACGCAAAAACTTCAGCTTGAATACTCTCCATGACATTGAAGAATTCTTACGACCATTGCAAGATATGTTTAACTTCCAATCTATATTATGCTTACACAGTTGTGTAACGATAACAGATACATATCTTACAATTGGAAGAAAGAAGAAAATGTAGCAGACTTGATGAAGAATTCACAGAAATCACACTCACCTGATTGCCTGAGGAGCAATCTATAACAATTTAAGAAAAAGATATAGGGTCGAGTGTACGCACAAAAATGGGCTGCTTACGGGTCCGTAATGGGTTCAATTGGGCGCAAATATTGAGCAAGCCTACTCAATGTGAAAGCACAATTTAAGCTCATTACGAGTCTCGATATGCCCATTGAGAATCGAGATAAAAAGCAAATGATTTTGAAACTGTCATACTGACCTCACAACAGATTAAATAAACCAACACACTCAAAAATAAAACAAATACTATGAACAAGAATCCAAGAATCACTTCCAATGATCTGCTTGCAAGAGAAAAGATTCATAGCAAACTCTCTTACTACTAATAAGCTTGGTAGGATCAAGAATGTAATTAGAAAAGCAGTTTTTGCATAACTTCCAATATTCTTGATGCACTTGCAAGTTGTCAGTTCCACAACTCATGCACAGCTACACAAAATTCGCTGCAAAAGATGGAACAGCTAATATCAAGATTCAGAAAATGTTTTACAAATCAAGAACAATGATCGATATTCTTATGATCTTATCTGAACTGTGATATTAAAAATATGCACAATTGCATGGAGAGGCAGAAACAAGAGTAGATGAGAATGGGTCAGGATAGTGTGTGTGCATAATCATAAGTAGTCATTTCTGCACTAAATGCAGGACATAAAACCTTGTGATGTAATGATCATTAACTCTACAACAAAACGTAAAGAGAATTACAGAAATTTGAAATACACATTTTGTTGTCAATTTTAAAATGTTTAGGCTTATAAATTAGTTTGCAAATTAGAGTTTGTTGATGCAGGAAATGCCTGAGCAACAATTCCAATGAGGCTGACGACATTTCAGGATAGCATACTCAACAATTCCAATGAGGATGAAGACATTTCAGGATAGCATCCTCAAGTTTTGATTCTCTAAAGTCCATTCAACCTTCAAGCAAAGTGACATCTTCTTAGTGCAAAAGAAATGGGTGAGTACCAAACCAATGGTAATCCTGATCAACACAGCAACCGGTCTTACAAATTCCATTGAGGCCCCTGCAAGCAAATATCACAATACATAACAGAAACATAAATGGAATCTTCCAATTAGCACACGAATAAGTTTGCATAGAAGCTCAACTGACAAGATAATACCTCCTTGAAGACATCCAAATCCATAAATCCATAAAAACTCACTAAAAACAAATTATAGAAACAACAATTTGGTGCTTAAATTTTTTTCAGCTACTAAAATCATCAGAGCAACTACTACTCCATGTAACTTCTCGTCATCTTTGGTGATGTATACATACTGCATAATTTGATCTGAAACATGGCTCTTTCACACTCCCCCAACAACCAATAACCGATCCGGAATTAAGTTGGACAGAATCCAAATACCCATTCAGAATCAATATGCACAGAATCCAAATGTTCCTAAGATCCAAAATAATCTCCATTGGACTGCTAAGCAGAATTTCTAAAACCTGCAGTTCACATACAAACCAACAATACAGTGCCAAACACAATCAGAAAATGATTCGAGCAAACATTTAGTAAGACAAAACAAAGTTGGTTTATAATCAATGCTAAACTAGCTTGTCACATAAGAAGAATCTCACACCTCAATAGACTTTTAGAGAAGCCATTTGCATTCTATTTCCAGAATCTCAAACTTGGGGAATAATCTACCTTCATCTATCAGAGATTTCAAACAGACCAGGGACTTCTGCTTTGCAACAAAGAACAGACTTTTCCATGAACCTTAATGAGTAAAACTGGAAGACATTTTGTGTTGGGCAATGCGTAGACCTTCCAATTACAACATTACTACCATATGACACCAAAGGAATAATTCTTTCACTGGACTGCACCTCAGTAGCCAAGGCTGGTGGTTGATGTAAGACAGCTTGTTGTCAAGGGAAAAGGTGCTGAATCACTGCTCAGCTCCTGTTGAGAAATTCAAATGTGAGTTAGACCATCAGCTAAGCCCTTCTCATCCACCTCTGATACCAAATAAAAGGGCTCATTTCCCTTCACACTCACCTGCGACTCTCAAAATATCAAGAAGCTCAGGAACCTTTTCTTTGTAGGGTAGAACAATCTTCTCCATGAATTTTGTATTTGATAATTGCACATAGGACAAAAACGTGCCTCGTCGAGTCCACAAGCCTTTCGTATTCAACATCTCCAAAACACGAAACCGAGGAATTACCGTCTTCTGCAGACTTGATAGCAAGAGATTTGGATGGGAGGCGATGAAGGAAGGGGTGTACCCGACTACATTAATAAAAAATTCCACTTTTCTGCGCAACATATCGAGGGAGATGCATAAGAAGGTGGGATTTTTCCTGACTGCAGAAGAAAACTCCGACTCCGACCACCCGAAGCTCCTCATGAGCTCGACCTTGGACTCGAACTTTTCTTTGCTTACGTTGTGGAAAACATGAAGGGTCCACATGAACATCCGAGATTGCCGTGGCATCCCCAGCTCATCGGCTCTCACCACCAAAGCTCGGAGAGACTCTGGTTTCTGCGAGATTAAATGTGGGCGACTTCTCAAGACGACAGAGACCCTTTCTTCAGGAATGCCGCACTCAT